AACTAGTTTATGTGGTGTGTTCACTGGAAAATTGGTCTTTGAAATTTTTTGTAATCCAGAAGTATTCATTCAGGGCATAACTGTAATCAGTGACTATCCTTCTCTCTCTCTCTCTCTCTCTCCAATAAATTTATGCAATTCATTTATGACAGTTGTTTAACCGTATGATACAAATTGACTGAAGTTTTAGATGGATTTGAGCGAACTTCCCTATAAATCCAAAGTGCTATGAAAAAACTTCATGTTTAATCCATTCGCAAATGCAGAACTAATCAATTTAGACAGTGTTTATTGAGCACTTGTCGATTTCCTTTTTTCCTAACCTCTGATTTTAGGTGTTGCAACTTGAACTGATACACATTCCTTTCATGTCTTACGTTGATGATGACTGACTGTGGTGTATTAGGAGTAATATAAAATCCATTTCACAGTTCACCTTGGTCAGTCATCAATAATAAACGCGTAAACCACTTTGTAATTCTATAGTAACACGTTCTATAATTCCAGTAAACTGCAAATATGAATCTATAAAGTTTGTGAATATCTCGCTTCAGAAGCACTCAACGTTATATTTTTAATCATGATCGAATAACCTAAAACCGAGTGTAAATAAAATTTATAAATAAGAAAATCTTTTGCGATTAAATTAATGATCAGTTTTTTATTATCCACGACGTAAATAAGTCATCTAACGAATTCGAACTTCCACAATCATAATTACACACTTGCCAATATCAAGGGCATGTCCTCAAATGCCCTGGTTCGGCCAAGAGTGTGGAGAGTCCGCTCTCCCCCTCGAAATGCTCTCACATGGCCACACGTATATAGCCTCTGCCAGGGAAGTCCTAATCACTTCCTTCGTGTGGCGGGAGCGTTGTTTACGAAAATGAGAGGACGAAAAGCGAATGTCCGGCGCTTTAACCGGGTTAGTGGATATGGAGAGTCCACCTATGGGAGTTGGAAAACCCTGATTCCAAATCAATGGTGCACATGGGCTCCATTATCCTGAGTGAACAAATGGCGTTTGAACCAATCGTTTGTCACCGGCTGCCATGGGACTGCATGTCCTTACGATGCTCCACTGCCTTTTGGATCAAACATTCATGTCGAAGGCTCCGAGTGTGGCCCCCTAAAGAAAACAACCTGCTTCGGTTTGGGCACCCGGGCACTATCATAGCTCTCACACAAATCTAATATAATTTGTGTGGCGCATATGTATTTGGTGCCTCCTTGTAACAATATCCATGTGTCAAAATAAATAATCAAGGGCATATTCTACTATAGACGACTAAATTGCTATGATTTCGAATGATTACAAAGTTCAGGTAGCTATGTTAAAATTGTAGCTTAACCAATCGTTTCTCGAGAATTCATCCAATCTGCCTGTTTTATAACTTGATCCCAAAAAGAATTGATGTGTAGAGGTTTAGCAGCGCATATATTTTTGTCGAAGTTGAATAAAAGAATGATTTGGAGGAATGACCATAATTTAAACTTGGTGAATAGTTAAATAAAAGAAAAATTGAGTTAAACACTTTCTAAGCATTCATCAAATGAATAAGGTCGAAGAATGAATACACAAATGTCAAATTAGTCGTTCATAATTTTCAAAGCACTCAAAAATGTACTTTCCGATTGTTTCGGACATAACATATACCCCATAAGCAAGAAACCAAACGCGATAGATATATATAATTTGAAACCTATTAAAAATATTCATATGTCCAAATTATGACATTTTACATAAGAACAGTGATGAAAAATCCATAAAGAAAATATAAAGGAGTAAGGATAATGACGCAGAAATAACGAAACACTAAAGCCGAAAAGTAGTGTGCTTTAAGCTAGTAATGATATTGATCTTTAATTGTAGCTTTTAGTGGGTATTAATAGGTCAGTAAAAGTCAGTTAAAATGCGTAACCAACCCTGTTAGTTCTTATATTACCTCTCAGCAGGTCTTATTATCATGACATTTTCAAAGTATTTTATCAATCATAGCATGTCGATGGAAAGGTGGATGTTTTTTTGAAATTTTTATTTCCAGATTGTGTGTAAATCAGCGTGATAATACTAAACGAACTTTACAGCGAAAAATTGCAAAGGAAAAACGTTGTGCAATGCGGGCTATTCGTCAAGATTGTCAATTTTTAGCTTCACATCAGTTGAATATTATTAAAAAGAGGTAATTCTTATTTTCTGCATTATGAAATCGTCTATTCCATCGAGTGTCGTCTTTCAAAGGGTGCATAATTTAATCAATTTGTTTTCGTGCTATTAATTTATATTGTTTTTATTAGATTGAATATTCCTTAACTTCTCATCATCACTCTAAACTAATACTAAGGTTTCACAATTGTGAAAACCAATCAATATCTGCCAAAGGATTTTGAGTTATTGTCCCTGTTATCGTAATGTTAGTCGGGTTTTTTTCTCACATAAAAACATGGTATCAGATTGTCCTTAGTGTACTGAACTGAAATTGAGCTATTGTTGTTACATCATGTTGTTTTGATAGGCTTCATCTCATTAAACTATCCAAATCTGTCTAGAGCACTAACTGTCTTAAATTATGATTTACTTAACGAATGGTAGTCAAAGACCATCCCATAGAGATGTGTGGATTTTCATAGATGATATCGTTCAAGAATTCTGACAGTTCTCAAGTTCAATAGTTTTTACCAAGTTCAAACAGGTTGTAATCATATTATCACTTGTATTGCACCTACTAAACATTTATGAGAGGTAAATAGAGCTTTTCATTTTTTGGTAAACTAAGTATATGCTCACTTTGAAGTCAGTGGCTTATTCGATGAAGTTAACTCCTTTTTATAATAACCCTGCCAATATATTTTCAGGGTTTCAACTGAACTTTGGCTTGGTGATCCAATTGTCTAAAATATAAGATCGATCTGTATTAGTTTAAAAAAATTAATGCACGAGCTTTTCTTGTGCGCAGAAGTCCCTGAGAGGCCGTAAAACTTACAACTACATGTATGTGAGTATCGTGTCTTAGGTTGATTATGAAGTCAACAGTTTGAAAACAATGTCATGTTTTCTACAGTATTATTGTCTTAAAGTCTCTAATTACGGTAAAAATATCTTACAAATAACACTTATTTCACGAAATTCTTGTATTTTCATAAGATTTTGAGATTTTTAACCCAGGTTACAAGATGTAACACCTAGCTTTCTATACTTTCTGTTGGTTCTTTTCTTCGGTTCCTCACATTCCATTTTTACATTTATCGGTTTACTGTATATGTGAGGATACGAGTCATCGTAATCTGAACGACAAAAGGTAGTGTTGTATCATTTGTTGTATCCATATCATGCTCTGTTATGATGCTATTATGCTTCAAGTATACGTAGGAATTATATATATGTAATTATTTACTGTTTTTATTGTAGCGACTATATTCGGGAAAAGAAAACAAAAGCCATCTTAAATTCGATGCGTTCAGTTGAAGATTGATACTGAAATCCTATTGTACCTGCAAATAATAATAATATAATACGACTAACTTTCCATTTTTTGATATCTTTTAACTTGAGCTATTGATGTTTTTGAAACAGAAATATATGTTCATTGAAAATAAAGCATTGAGCGAATAACATAATGCAAATACACAAAAGGCTTTGAAACTTTTAAGCGCTGTTTTAACATACGATTTGATTCGCTTTAGGAAGAGACGTCGTCGAAACGCTACATTTTCACCTTTTCTTCATAATTATGTGAAGGGAAATTGGATATGCACATAAATTTGTTAGTTTTCTGTCCTCATACCCTAGGTAAGTCAACTTTCGTGTTTCCGTTTGGCCTTATAACGAATAAGTGTAGGAATGAATTCCTAGTAAAAGAAAGTGAACTACAAAACTGTTAACACTACAGCTTGTCGACTGATCAAAGATGAGCATCTAAATATCCCTTGTAGCACATGTTCCAAAGTAGCTTTTTTATATTCAAGTCATGTAGTATAAATACAGTTGCAATATATTTTGGTTCCATTTTGAACCAGTTTGAACTTAGCCTCGGCTTGTAATAATAATTTCGTTTATTGTCTAAGTTATGTTGTAGCTTGAATTACTTAAATCGGGCTGCGTATTGCAAAATTGTCAAACTGACGCTGGATACATCCCTCAATTAAAGTCTAGTTTAAAAATAAGAACATTTTTAACGACATACGATCTACGTAGCTATATGTTAGTCTTAAAAACATGAAAGGTTAATGTCTAAGTTGCTTTCAGTGAGAAACGTGAGCCTTATGACAGCAATCAAACTTAAAAATGAGATTAATGAGTGGATTTCCTAGTTGTCAGTTATTTTCTGTTTGCTTATCACTTTCGGTGTCTGGTATCGATAAGGCATAAACACTATTCATTTAGGTGATGTAGAGAAGTGTTAATAAAAGCTTTTTTGGAAATCGTTCCATCCCTAAGCATTCACTGTAATCTGGGTGTATCTCCTTTAAAGTATCAACATGTATTTAAAATGCGGTGTCCACTGTGCATTAAATATACGAGTGAATATGCCTTTTTACCGATGTGTTATTGTAATAGTGGTGAAAGAGGAGTATTTTTTCATGTTTAAGATTAAAATCTCAGCACATAATGTGACAACATAACTGAATTATCGTCACTACTCTTAAACACTTCATAGTCTTCGTATCTTCTTTGTGGTGAAAATAAACTTCCCCCTAGTCGTAATTTTAAGTTGTAGTCAACATAATCTGCACTACATGTCGGTAAATCAAAAAAAGCACCTGGGTATTTTCAGCTCTGTTTAGTGTACGTACTTGAGTGTTAAAATATCGCGTCACGATTGTCATGTTTGACCGTCTCGTCCAAAACGTTTTTTTACTTTGTCGGAGCTGCATATACATGTGTTAAACTCAAGTCGGTTTGTTTACACATTAAACAAATAGATTCATATTTACCTTTAAAAATTCACTGTACCAGTGTTTTGCTACGTGAAGTTGTCTTTAATTCACATAAGTGATTATTCTCATTAATAACACATTTATTAGATCATCCAGTTTTTGCAGAAAATAAAAAACTAAAATATTAACAAAAGCTGAATGTTTGGTTTGGTTTTTACTACCAGCATAAGATTTTTAAAATATCACTGGGATACAACTCAACAATTTTGTATGAAGTACATATGAAAGTTGAGTAAATTTGTACAGATCAGTCAAAAATAATTCATGACTAATTATAATTATTATTATCACTGTTGCTATTGCCATCAATTACTTATCATTAAAATAACAAATGTGTGAAAAAATAAGTGTGAATGAGATTATTGAACTAACTCTCTTACTGTTAAAAATAATCGTCAAAATACACCCAGGTAGAAGCAAACTATAGAAAAGAAAATCAAAGTAAAATTTACGCAAAATAAAGTTAGAAGAGTAGAGCGAATTATTTTTTATCTTATTCTCAAATATCCGTTCAAAGAAAAAGTTCTGGATATCAATTTTGGAGGACGTGTCAACTTATTCGAAAATTGCAGTAGTGTATACCTAATGTCACCTAGTTGTGAGTTTTACACTATCGTTCTTTATGTTCAGATTGTCTTATGTTATCGGTACATAATGTGTTCTTTCTTATGAGTATTCTTTCACCTACATCTTGAAGTGATTCCGTCGTAACTGTCATTGTTATTTTATTTTCTGGGTTAATTTCAGAGTTAGTGTACATTTGACTTGCAGATTTACTAACTGATGTAATAGATCTCGGTTCACTTGTAGCTAAAAGCGTACTTGTGATAGAGCATGGGGCTGTAGCCTTCGTAGAATCACATAAATTATAAACATCTGCGTGAACAGAACTATTTTCAACTTGATGTACACACCCTTCACCATTTAACTTACTAACACGTTCGGTCTTTGAAACACTACTTTGAACTTTCCCAAAGGGTTTTAAACTTACAGATGTGTTATCTGTAATTGTCGTGGTTGTGTTGGATGCAGTATTAATAGTTGTAGAAATATTAGGTGGTAATTGTGTAGTATGGGTGGCTCTGTTCATTGTGTTGGGTTTCGATACACTTGAAGACATGTTCTTGAATCCAGGTGGTTTCGGCAGTTTCCTGCGAAGCCATTCATGTTTAAAAGCCTCTCGTGGAGTCATGCGCTCCTCTGGTGTCCATCGTAAACACTTTTTAATAAAATCAAGGAAAACTGTATCTTCACAACCTTTAAGGGCCGTGACTAATGACCGACTTCCAGGAGTACCTCTGATTTTACCCCTTTTGGTATTACTACTGCGAAGTACGACACAGCCATTTGCATCCATAGCCATGCAGTATCTTGGGTATCCATAAGTCGTTGAGAAAAAATTTCTCACTCTTCGGCATTGATCCAGTAGCTTTTGGGGCGGCATCCCAAGCAATTCTATTATACAAGCAAGTTGGTCTCCTTCATCTTCTCCTGGAAATATAGGAGCACCTAATGGATGGGAATAAAAATAAAAAGTTTTCACATTCGTTTAGGGAGTTTCACACACTTTTTCTCATTTATAGAATTCACTCGTGCAAGAACAATCAGTGTAGCAGAATAACATGAATCCACTATATTTTGCGGTTTCTTGTCAGCTAGCTGCCCACCACCTAAATATAATAGTATTATCCTTTAAAAATCAATGTACATACTTTGTCAAAACATCGGAAAAGTTCTTATCAATGAATTATTTATAGAATTATTTATGAAACAATGATAAGATATGTTCATATGTTAATTATTGTGGATATTTTTAGGTTGAATATAAGAACATCTAGAATAAACAACTAGGGAGATAGGGAAAATTATGTAGAAATAATATATTAATGTTATAGTTATGTAACTTCTAGAGAAATTAACTAATTGAGTACAGGTCAGATAAGGAAAGAGAACTAATAACTAGTGTCATAAAAAGAAGAACTGGATAACAAACATTTGTGATGGAGTTCACCAAAGCAAGATTGACAACTGAATCTTTCTGAGTATATAAATTTGGTTTAAATCTTTTTATCGTAATTGCTTCGGTTAACCTTCATCAATCTAACTTTCTTTGTTTCTTAATCATCTTGAAAAATTTTGCCACATCAACACCATGACCACTGTTAATCTGATGGTGTGCGATCGCAGTGCTGGAAACATATTCCTTTCAGTCTAAGCTTCTATGGGATGTTTTCTGCGATGCAAACATTAACCCTCTTTCTGTTTTTCTGATGTATGTTTTGCATATACATGTAAATTGGTGAATAGAATAAGGTGGGAATATGTTCTCACACGACTGTCTTAATGAGCAATTAGTGTGATGAGCTTGACAGCTGGATAAGTCCTTTTTGTTATGGCTTTTTTTCTGAAACCAATCTTTACAGCTACTTCATCACCATTGAAGCCAAGTCTTAGGAATGCAAGCTTCTCAACTACAGCATACTCTATTTCCTTTGTTTTAATCTTCCATACTTGTTTATGAATTTCTGAGGGTAACATTATTATATAAACAACGTTCAACTACGGTTAGTTCTTCATCAATATAATCTTCTGATACGATTAAAGAGCGTTCTAACCAAAAGTTTTATAGTTTAGTGGACAAAAGCTATTGAAGTTTAAATATAATCCACTCCATATGTCCTTTCGAAAAATATATATATCGCAATACAAATGGTCGATTAGGAAGATATGTAAGTATATACACTGGTTTTTAAAGAATAATACTATTATATTTAGGTGGTAGGCAGCTGACGAGAAACCGCGAAATATAGTGGACTCATATTCTGCTACATTGATTGTTCTTGCTTTAGTCAAATTTAAGGAGTTTTTTTATCAAGTTTACAAGAATAAATAAACATAACAAAGCAAATAACGTTTTAATAGTGAAAACATTCAGATTTTATATATTTAACGCCATACTTTTATGTCACTATATTGTGTTAAAGTCAGTTATATCACAGGAAGCCATGTTCATTTTAGAGTACTCCATTTTCTACTTTTGTGATCATACAACTGAAAGTTAGGGTACTTTTAGACGTACTAGAAAGTTTACACTAACTGTTCATCATTTACGTATTGATGTTTTCTATTCCGACTCCGAGCTCACTAAAGTGTTTTCAACTATTATTACTTTTGGGATCTTGCCGTGACAGTACTTGTAGCAGTCATGAACATTCAACTTGACTTCTGGAAAATTTGTTTGCATGAGTTGAAATTACTTGCTCAGTTATTGGTGTTCCGCCTTTGAATTCGTTTAAAGTAATTCTATAGGAGCTCTACCCACCCAAAGAAAACCTATGAAAAAATACTGAACATCCGTTAACATTTTTACTGAAGTCCCCAGGTTAATGTACTAAATAGACCTTTAAAAACATCGTATTGATCTCGACAAGAGTACAAGTATTAAACTAAGATCATAATAATCATGTTTTACCTGTTAGTAACTCCGCTAATATACATCCAAAACTCCACATATCAATCGGTAGACCATACTTACACCCGAGAATCACTTCCGGAGCTCTGTAAAATCTTGATTGTATATAAGTGTATAGACGCTGACTTTCATAACAACTTGAACCGAAATCAATTACCTTAATCCCGCTCCTACCTTGTTGTTTAAGCAAGATGTTTTCTGGTTTTAAATCACAGTGAATGATTTTATTTCTGTGCAGCATATCCAGACATACTAAAATTGAATGAGCGAATTTTCTTACTAACTGAAGAGGAAATCCTTGAAATTTACTTCGTTTGATAAGTTCATATAGATTTATGCTTAGCAGTTCAAATGTTATACAAACATGACCACGAAAAGTAAAGTGTTCGGAAATATGCACGACATTACGCGTATTGTCTACATCCTGTTTTTTCAGTTGTTCAAGAATTCGGATTTCTTCAGTCGCTTGATTTGTAAAGCGCTTTTCATTTCTCACCATTTTTAGTGCAACATAGACACCATCTTTATGATCGTAAGCCTTAACAACCTGTCCAAAACTACCTCTCCCGAGTATTTTTAAAATCTCATAACGATAGGCAACATGATCGTGTGCAGTATGTATGTAGGATCCCTGATCATCATCATAACCACAATTATTTCCTGTACCTAAAATTCCGTTTCTTTTCTTTGCATTATGTCCCACAAAATATACATAAGGATAGTTCAATATTTCGTGGTGTTCGTACGCGCTAAGTTTATGAAAATACAACTTCATTGCCATTTCCGGAGTGAGGCATGTTTTTATTGTTTTATTTGATGACGGCTTTACACACGAAGTACTAATCGACTCATGTAATGAAATCGGAAGGTTAGGTGGTTCGTTTACGCAGCTTTTGGGTATTGTATTTACCGGAAATTGATTAAGATCCACACCTCCATATGCTACAGCCCGAGTTCGAGTTTTTGGGGATTTGATCTGAGTTTCAAGTTTTAAGCAATTATATGTCGGACTGATGTTTCCCTTGGTCCTTGATCCGCTTGATCGGTTCCCAAGCTTATTAATTTGTGGTTTGTTCCTTCCTAATGAAACATTACTCGCTGAGTTTTCGCTTTGAAGTTTGTTCTCGTTATCTTCATGCAGTTGAGCAATATTTAGCAGTGACTTCACATTGCGGTTGTTGCTTTCTGTTCCAAATGAACTGTTAAATGCGAGAAGACTGCATAGACTTTCGTCTTTTATTGTCCCTCCATTCATTTCCATTAAACGTAGGAAGTGAGGGTGACCAAAATATGTATCAATGCTATACATAGGAATACGTTGTGAACACTAATGAGGTCATTTAGTTGACATTCCAATGGTCAATAAACGTTTGGGAGAATTCGATTAAATATAACTTTTCATTGTATAAAAATAGTTGGCATCTGTAAAACAGAAAAGAATACTAGTGAGGATATCGTCATTTCTATTATTTCAAACAAAAGCTAGAGAAAAGGTATTTCTATTAAACGGAGAAAAACGTTATGTAAATAGTAGAACTTGGACGCCAGATCCAACCACCAATGTCGGGCAGCACGCGAGGTGTAACAAATTTTTCACAATTTTGTTTAACTTTAAAAACTCATTGTTGGTTAATATACAAGCGAACAACTGTTGTATTTAGAAGAGTTATGAATGGCTATCACTTAAGATTTATTGTAAGGAAGTACCCATATAATTTATCAATGTGAAAATAAATTTTTTAAGACTGGTTTTATTTCTTTTTTTAGACCTAATTTTCAAAACTATCCAACTTTGATACTATAGTAAAGCAGAATGTAGGTTTTTAGGTAAGACAAAAAAATAGGCTACGCTAAAACTTTTTCGACAAATAATAATGTTTTATTTTCTTTCGTACTTAACGAGAGAACTATAATGAAAAGTCGAATATTTGTCTTTGTGAGTATTTTAGAAAGACTATTTTTAAAATGGGTGGCAGAAAGAATTGTGTCGCACAAGTAACACTGTAATATGATAAAGTTTTCCATGTGTTAGGAGATAATTGGGTAAGTTGGGAAAGTCAGAAGTTCCGTCCTTTCATTGAGAAATGTGAAATTGAATTTCAAGCTTTAGATAGATACAGATGACAGTATCTGATCAGGATATAAGGTAAAAGTGGGTCTGGTTTGAGTATAAATATTCGGTATGATTGTTATTTGACAGAGCCTTGAACACTAAGTTTATGGAACCCTAATACCCAAACTCAAGCTATCTCAGGTATCTCATGGCTAATGTCAGCAGCTGATCTCAGTCAAACAGCTTTTGAAAAGTAAGAAGCACTGAACAGGTGTAAATTTGAAAAACTCTCTGGATAGCAATAACTACCTTAAGTAGTTACTTGTGTGTTATTATCGTGAACATTCACAAGTTAAAAGTAACAAATTAACTAATTTTTCTATCATATTGGGATATTGTTTATGCGTCTGAATAATACATATTGTGTACAATGGTGAAAGACTACCAATTTTATTAGCGGCAAAATTGTTTTTGTAATTGATGATGTAAGAAAGAGTAAATCTTCTAATACGAACGTGTTGCCATGTATGCATTCAGAAGAACTGATCAGGATAAGGGTGGGACTTCACCATATTTTCACTAACCCCGAGACGTATAATAGTTATTTGAACTAAAGGATCCCAAATTATTTATAGGAAAGATTATCTTATTTATCCTAGGGACTTCCAAAGTTAGTATTTGAAACATCAACAGTTGCAATTCAATTAATAGAACGTCAAATCTTTAACTGAATGTCCTCGTTAACTAAAGAAACCTTGATACAACAAACTGGTAATGAGCAATAATTTAAAGACAGTAGCTGTGTATAAATATATACCGCAATGAACATAACAACCTAACTCATAACTTGTGATTTAAAAAAGGTTTACTCTGTATGACTGATTTTCTGGAATTGATATCACTTAGATTAGAAATTATAGGGTTGAGGAAATAAGGGTTAATACAGAAATTTATAGTACTACTAAGTGCTTAACACTAAAACACTGTATATCAAAGACGATAAAATTCTAAGTGTAGTTGAATTTCCATAAATATGGCTTACACACGGAAATATCCATAAGGTGTTAAAAAACCTAGTTGAAGAATGAAGAAAAATGTGGTGGCGTTATCAAAAAGACTAACAATTTTTCTTGATTATATCTCCACATTAAACAAATGTAATCAAGAAACATTGTTAGTCCTCGTGGCTATCGTAACCGATGGTTAGAGACTCTGGATGACATGACTCGGAATCGATCACAGTGGCGTCAGTGTATACACTCTTTGTCTTCCCATAAACTAGAAGATTAAAATCGTTTCATATCTTTCTTTCTACCAACTAATTCTTTTTTCCTATACTATATAGTTATATGCAATCTTTCTTTTATACATTACCACCATTGAATTAACTACTTCTATAAATCCGGTGTTCATCTTGTGCTAATGAGGTATGGCAACTTGGACTGATGCATAAATGTGCCTGGTCCTAGCTGACTGACTGAGATTGTCTAGAAACTAGGAAATAAATGGAAAGTAGTCTTAAATACTAACATTTACGTCGCTTAATAAAACAGCTAACTTATGTGTTCATAAGCAATAATTAAAGATGAACATATCTTCAAACCATTTTTAGTTACTCACAATCATCATAAGTTCGAGAATTCATCTTAATAATGAGTAGAGATAAATCTTAAAGACGTAACATGTTGAGGAATATAAATTAAGGAACTCTTGTGTCATGAAGATTAAAAATTAAAAACCAGATAGAATACGAAGATATTGTCAAATGCATACTTCAAGTTGAACCAACGTTGTCCATTTTCATATTCAAATGTTATGCAGGAGTCTTACATAAAAATTGTTGTAGTTTGGTGAAATTCATTTGGAAATAAGGTCGTAACATACACCGTCACACCTGAAAAACATAAAGAAACGTATTTATGAAAGAGACATGGAGTAGGTACTAATTTTATAGATATTTATTCATTATGATAATCAAAATTGAACATGTCAAAATACTGCTCTCACTCTAATATATGGAGGTTTTCGCAGAACAAAGCTCATTGGTAAGAAAGTTATAAAGTGTTTGAAAGTGTACACTAAATATCTACGGCGAGCCATGTTTATTTGTTTCAAAGTATAAAGAAACCTCATTTATATTAAGGTCAATATGCACCTAATAAAAAACAATCAGCTTTACTTTCAAAAACAAATATAATTTTAGAGCCAGGTTTGAAAATGAAATCATCCACGCCTTTTATAACTATGTTAACAGGTTTCCTAAGCCCTACAACAAGTAAGCTATTTATTTTTGCAATTAAATATACCAAAAGAACCGAATAAACACAAAATGAAAATTTTTCCGAAATTTCCAGAATAAACAGTAGAAACAAGCTGCAATATAAATGTAATGTTGATCTGTATAACAAATAGCATTCCCATTTTAATGGTTGAATTATTTTGGTCGGGTGAAATTGTTGCGTTAATTTTTTACTAATACCGTCTTACACTTCTCATCCTCTTTTTCTTCATAACTTTTTTTACTTTTAATACTGTCACTTAAGCATGGCTGTTAACTCCAGTTTTAATTTTTGTTTCGAATGGAAGCATTTCATTCAATTGTCTAGTCTATGAATCCCTTTACGTTTGGTTTTTATCTTTATTTTCAAACATCTGTTTTGTAGTTCATATCTGTCAGCAAATAACGGAAAATCACAACATAATAGGATAACTTCATTTTACTCCACAGAACCTCAAAACCACCACTTTTTCGAAGAGCTATTATGTCCTTGAACAGACTATTAATAATGTTGCTTTCAAAAACATTGCTCTATTAATATGAATCTACATAATCCACAAAAGCAAATACGTAACGTGTATTTCTGATCACTAACTGGCTTTGAAAGCCATACTAAAACGAATAACCAAATTTTAGGGAATAACGAAATATTTTCATTGATTCAATCACTTGCTTGATAAAAATAATCCCTAGGAATTTTCAGAAATTTTGTTTCACTCATTTATTATTAGTTACATTAAACTGAAGTGAATACGTAGTCTTTATATTAAGAAAAGCTTACTTTACTTAAGGTCATGCAAAGTGTGATGTTGAGCTTTGAGAGTCAGAAATTGAGGGGATAAAGTATTTGAAAATAAGTCAAGCAAACTGTATCAAAAGTATAACAAGATAAAATATACGGTTTTAAACGTAGATAAAATTGCATATTGAAAGCAGTGAATAAACAATATTTGCTACCATAATAGTACATAGTGAAGTCATACGTTTCTGCTTCAGAAGCAACAAAACGTCTCTGTAAATCGTCAAAAATTACCATAAATACACCAGGCTTAAGCATACTTTGTTTGTCAAAATAAATAAAGTTGGGTTAGGTTGAGAAAACTAGCTCCGAAAGACAAGAGTTTCCCCAATGTATTTTCTAAAATGTGTACAGACATTAAATAACTGGGTTATTGGACTTTTGTCACTTACGACACATTGCTGTATCCCAAATATTGCTAATTGATTATTCATCCTATGTTTTATTTTTTGTCACTTATGGCTTGATTATATGTAAACTGTAATTTCCCACGTAGGTTGTATTGTAGCCTGATAATGTATGTATATAATCTGGTGAGTGTTTGAATTTCGATGAACGTTTACATGGTGTGTAGATTTGTCTGTTTACCATGTTGTACTGTCGGATCAGTTGTTGGAAACAGAAAGCTTTACTAACGACCGGTAGATGTTTACTTTGTTTCAACAATAGCTTAAGATTAGTAACTCTCGAACAAAGCGTAGGGTATCAGTTTATGTGAAGAAACAATGAGATTCTTATTGGTGAGTCTTAAAAATTGATAGCAATCTACTCTAGTCCCATTAATTGGTATATTTTCTCATTTACTCACGTTGAAAGACCCAATTTATGTTTCCTTTTAATTCTTGGATTGTTTTACTTATGATTAATACATTACGTTTCTTCTGGACTATAAATTTGGATCCCACGTGACTGACTGGATGGGTTTTATATCCCAAAGCTTCGGATGTATCACTGCTTACTATACCACGTAGTGTAATCCCCTGTCAGCTAATGAAAACAACAAAAGTTATGAAGTATGGTAGAAATGGGACTATCATACATGGTGAATTTTAAAAAACTAACAAAAGATGACACGATGTGAAGCTTTGCCACGAAAGACTTATGATGGTGTTTGGTAGTTCTTCTTAGAAACAGTTACATGTAATTTGTATACAAATAGCCTATCCTTCAGACCAGGCACTCCAAAATTCCTTATGTTCTGATATTGGTAATGTGTAGCACAGTTTATTGATAAAGAACAAAAAGCATACCAAGACTTTGCTGAGCTTTTAGTCTTCATGAAAATTCGGATACTCTATTGAATTTATCATTCCAGATAAAAGAGGCTCATAGTTATACGTGAGTGAAAAGCACCAGAAGTATACAATAAGTAACAAGTTAACAAGCAACTTCGGATGATATTATTACTATGAAATATCATATTTAGAAAACAAGAATTAATTAACTCAGATATCATAGCTAAAGTAAGATAAATTTTCTGTGGTCTAATTTGTCACAGCGTCAGCCAGCAAACATTTAAGGTCAGGCTCCGAATGTGTTGTACAACGCTGTAAATTTTTAGAGCTTTTTTAAATGTACTATTGTCAGTGGTTTAACACTGTAGCAAGCATTCAAACTCTAGCAAATGCTATTAGTTTGGTTTTATATCCCAATGATGGATAAGTTTGAGGAAGGTATCATTTTAAGCAAAAATGAGCTAAATTTTATGGTGATTTATGTTATATAGAAGGTCGTACTTTAAAGGTTACTGTTGTGTATATTTCCATCTAATAGACAGTGTTCAATCAACAATCTGAGTTCGAAACGCATTATTTTATCAACATCAGTTAGTTTTTTACTATCTTAAAAGTGGCGTATCAATAATGGCTGCTGAAACCTATTTCCAATACACTGCTCTTTCGTTAATTGTTGTGTCGATTCATTGACACTACAAGTGGAGTGGAGGACTTACGGCATTTCCCTAGAATTTAAAACGGCACGTATATTTGCATGCAGTGCTTTGTACAGTCATACTGAATTTTTTATGAAGGTACTCGCATTATTTTCGGCTGAAGATTAGGCCTGTTAATGTACTTATTCTACATGAGTAACACATTCACATATATCACTACAAAAGCCTAATAAACGACATTGCAGGTAAAGCCTCTCCAAACTAACTGCCGTTTAAGAATTGTACATGTATACTGCCACAAGATTCGATATCACAACTGCAGAATTGTAAGTTCGAAAAACACAAACATTCAGCAATTTTAAAATTACGCTACTCGCACCATGACGATAATAGGTGAACAGCGTATAAAAACGCGGAGTTTAGACAGAAACGAGGTCCTATAATTTTATTTCGCCTACACTACAATTCTGTACTTGGCATTGTTGTTGTTTTTAGCTCGTTCTTTTTGACGACGACGTATGTATCATCCAAATAACGAATCCAAATTTTCGGTTTGAGCACTGGTAAAAACGATGCTTTCAGTCTCTCTATCAACTACATTACATTATTGAGTGGCTTGGACGTAAAACGTGGCGCATGAAAGTTAGTTTAACAATGAAAGGACGGAAATTTACTATTGGCATGCTTTTTATGATGTCTACAAAAGAAACTTGAAGAGAAATCGGTAGGCAGTTAATGGGTAAATAACTGCCATTGTACTAACGTTTTTATGTATGAAAGTTTACCTGTTCCCAGACCATGTTTTGTTTGCAGTGTGATCTCATTCATAATGATCCACAACTCTCCTTACGATAAAAAGTACCTGACAAATTGTGCGTGGTATAGGAAACAAAATGATGATCGATTGAAAATCTTTATCCTGATGATAACAAGTAGGACTGTTACTGAGTAGATTGTTAAATATGTCGGAAAGAATTTTGAAAAGGTCTTTTACGTTCTAATCAAACTCCATTTTTTCCATAGATCTATAATTTGTTAGGTTGTCAGGGTTTCAGCGATGTGCTTTCAAGCATATGTAATGGTTGGGGCGTTTGGACGCGATGGTAGGAACCCCAAAAATGTGACTATAATAATATTCAGTAATTATAAGCCAATGTAAATTTAGAACTGTTAATTAAATTAAGTGGTTCAGATCGACTCAACATAAAAAAACTAAGAAGAAGTTTATTGAAATGGTTCTGCTTTTCGAATGTCATTAATTACAACCTTTTTCAGCTGATTGCTGTAGATAACCGTTGACACAAAACCTCGGTTGTATTTACGCGGACAAAGGAAGAAAATAGGGACTATATATTGCGGATGTTGGATCAATTCAAACTAATACGGAAACATTTGTAAGAAATTGTACAAGATCCATTAATATAATTCACGAAAAAACTCACCGTGCAGTACACATAATTTTGAGTTCATTTCACGTGTATATGTTTATATATAAGAAGACTCGTTATCCAATACTAGAATAATACTTGACCGAATTGTCCCCTATTTTTCAGTTGAAAAGTTATATCAGACTCAACGTTGGATCTTATCCGCAACGCAACCACGTAAACTTAATGTATCACCCAGTGTAATAACGGTCATCTATGCGTTCAAGTAACCACAGATTTTGTCATTTCATAATGTACTTTTAATTAAATAACTAGATTATGTAGCTAATTTTGATCTTTTTTCATATTTTTATTCGCCACGTCTGAGTGCGTTACGCTGAACGTCCATTGTACGCTGGGATGATATTTCAAGTCATAATGAGTTAATTCACATAGTTGATTGTTTCCAGATAGACTGTCAGTGCATGATTTTACTGAAGAAAGTTTGATGAACTGTAAACTATGTTTTTATGAACAACTGCCTGTTGTCTTCAGTCGGAAAGCAATATATATCCTTTGTTTTCTGTTAGGTAAGTTCGATTGGCCTATATTTCATGTTTTGGTTTTATCGTCTTAATTATGTCCATTTAACTACTTTAAGCAACATGCCTGTGCATATGAAACAATAACTATGGCACTTGCTTAGTTTAGTATTCTTGGTTGTCGTATAATTCAGTTTATTTGAAAGAATTATGGTATTGTAGGACCAATGAAAAATCACTGAGCCCTAGCCAAATCATCCGGCAGTTGGAAAACTGAATTTCGAACAGATCATCGCTCCCTGCCAAGGTTAAGTACAACCAACGCGCATAAGTTAATCGTGTGCCATGGACTGGCCCATGCGGCAGAGGTCTTACTTTCGCTTGTATCTACTTTAAATAATATATTTCCGTAATAACGTCCTTTGTGTTGTACAGTCTTCAAAGCATCTATAGTACCTTGATATGTCAATGGTGATAGTCCACGCAAGGTGCTGACCACGAGGTGTGACTTCGACGTCACACCATTCGCTTCTAACTCAAGTAGGCCTCCAATCATTTCGACAAAGATCATCTACGTTGGTGATCTACAGTATACTTAAGTATAATGCTTTAAGCCTGTAACGAAACAGGTCAGTCTAGTAAGTAGAGTTGCCTGTTTCTGATGAGTATACTGTAACAAATCAGTCTGATTAAAAATATGAAAAAAATGCTCTTGGTACTGTTGCTGTCAAACATTATAAGATAGCTTTAAGTACGTTTGATGTTTATTTGTAGACAGTACGTCTAACACTGTTCATGTTTCAAGACCACTGTCATTAGACGGTTTCCTCAGCAATAACATCGGTAGCAGGATAGCTAAGTGTGTGAGATTTTATTTGCCTGCAAAAGAGCAGTATACAGTCTTAGAAGATGAGTGTTCTGTGTCTCAATTAAATGCAGCTGACTTTGGACAAATGTTAAGAATCTTTTTGACAACTGGGACTTTTAGTTCATCAGACACTAACTCTGCTTGTATGTCTTCCTATTAAACTAGATGCAGATGCATGGTAATACTTAAATCAGAGCAAAATAATAAAAGCATTGAGATACGGTACTAAACCCATGTTATGCTTTGCACAAGTAATAGCTGACCTGATCTAATATTCATGGACTCGAGGTAAATCACAACTGCATAAATTCTTTGCTAAAAAACATGCAATTTGGTTATTTATCTATTCCACATTTCTGACTAAATTCATTATTATTTTCTCATTTAGAATGCAACAGGAGTGAGTCTTCAAAGATCCTAAAAACTGTTTCGCCCCTAGAACTATGGCCCTATGGAACTGTTTACGGAAGACCCAACTAACAGCAGATTATAAAAAGAATGCAGGATGTCCATTTTAGTCTCACAACCACTTCCAGTACTTTTTGAGTTACTTCTTTTACCGTTTCGTTTGGAAAAAAAACAATAGAAACTGCAGTTTAACATTACCAATGCAACTTTTAAACGGGAACTTGGTTTAACCCTTTGTTTGATATTCGATTCTTAATGAAAGTTCTGGAATAAATTTTTAAATCTAATGCTACTTTGTTTTATCTACTTAATCGTTGCAAGAAACTTGTGATACACGAGCCTCTCAGTACCTAATTCATGTGTTCAGGCTTCAGTGTTTAGAAGCAGGTAACCGCCAAAACCTCCAAGCAGGAACCTAGGTATGTTAACAATAAAAGATCCAGTTGCCTCTCAAAGGATTCCTGGGAACCCGCTTGGACTAGCTTGGCGAATTCCAGCATTTGACGACTCCTAGGGAGTAGAAGTTGTGTCTACGAAACGTTCCCTTATGTTGTGTCTCCAGTTTCTGGGTATTACCCCTTATGTTAGTTTTGGGACTAAGCTTAAGTAGGTGTTTGAGAGGATGTCCAGAAGTGTAAAGGATACTGTAAACCACCTCTGAGACGTCTATACTCTAATGAGTAGAGGTTAAGTGATTGGAGGCGCTCTTCATAAGGTGATTTGGTTCATATCTTCGTCATTTTCTTTGTAAACCTACAGACTCAGGTCCTTTCACAACTTATTCTAGCCACCATGACTTACCACGGCAGCTGATGGGTGGACACGCGTCACACATCCTAACCGTCACTGCGCCTAATCTCATAGTTTCTTATTCAAATGTCATATGATAAGCAAGTAATGCCTCTACCGACACTGATGGAACACGAGTAACTCAAAAGCACCCTGTGTGGTACCTTACATTGGTCTACGCACTCACTTAGCTATTTAGTGAGAATATTACTATAGTCGTGCTGAAAATCCCATGAACCCCCCTACCTCCATCAAAACAAATAAGCCTGTATTTGCTGCATATAGCAATTTTATTTTTCAGAAGTAAGATATAAGTTAGAATTGGAGTAAAATGGCTGTACGCCGGAAATGCACGTGGTACATGTCTTCAACGATTAACTTAAATAGAGAATATGGATATTAGCTTAACAGGCTTATTTAGAAAGACTAGTGTCTACTCTGAACTTACTGCGTGAGAAAGTTATACTGAAGCACTCAAACTGGAAAACTGTTGTCCAAAAATAATTCGAATATGAAGGTGAAAATTTGCAGTTACTTTTCATCGTGAGGGTGAACATATTAGGTACCGGGTGACGTCATACCGTAAAAAAACACAGATTTGCGAGTGGAGAAATATGATCTATAAAACAGTTAGCTTAATAACAGTTAATTACCTTTTTACTTCCTGATCATGACCCTTCCGCTTTCTTTTCTGGCCAAAACAGAAAACATACACTACACACTGATAGCAGATATCCGCCTTTTCAATGTTAGGCTTGCTATTACGCACTACGAAACGAATACAATCCCTCTATTACTGCTCTATGAAATATTTTTAATAACAAACCCTCTACAATAGATTGTTAGTATCTGTGACTTCTTCTATGCTTGTTGGAAGTCTGGGTCCTTTCGATAACAATACTGACATCCCCTACTGCTGGGCAAACATTATTAGTTTGACTCGTTGGCGGGATAGTGTTGCCCATAATACTGAAGAAAATTACAAACCTGAGGTTATTTTTTTCATTTTGCCGATAACATCATAAAGGACAGTTAGGAACGAACATGCGGACAGTTAGTCACAGGCGGCAGCAACAATTATTTTAGCTAAATGAAAAAGAACTTCGGCTTTGGATATCTAGAAAACAAGCCAATACAAAATCGATTACCATTTTAAAACATTGGACTAGCCAGCTTGGCTGAAGAATTACATTGACTTGAGTAGAAGCAGCTAAAACCCAAAAAACAAAGCTGATTCGAAGTAAATTTCACACCAACATGTAGAACATTATACTAACTGCGGCATCTTAGCACATTGAAACATTAATTACATAGCTACACAAAAGAAATAGCTAAAAAAAGCACAGAACGAAGAAAGCCGACAACTATTGCTTAAAAAGATGGCGGATATAA